GTTTGAAATAATAAAACCAGCAGCTTCCTCAGCACTAATTCTGAGTGTTTGCATGATGGCAGACTTGGCACTGGCCATAAGATGAGATTCCCTCTCCCTGTCCTAACAAATGCTCCTACAGTTGTTCGAACTGAAAGTCCTCTCTGAAATCTCCCTCCTCGGTGTGGTCTGTATGACATGCAGCGGGCTCAAGATGTACCACCAGGCTGGTCGGTGTCACCACTTGGTTCTGCATAAACAAAGAGCTGGGCACTACCTGGGAAGCTTCCAGGGTGTGCTGAAAGCTGGATAAATGGGTGATGACATGTCTTTGAAGAACAGCTAATCCAGAGGTTCTCACACGTCCATGCACTCTCTTTGTTCAGGAAAGCTTTTAAATACCCAGCACGTATGTTGGCAGTAACGGGAAACACCAGATAGCCCAAACTCATTGTCCAGCCTTGCAGCAGTGAGGAATAGCTCTCTTCTAGGGATGCATTAATGCCATGAAATGCCAGGAAGAGCAACTGGCAGCAGTCCTGCTTCACTCATCCTGGTATGAGAGTAAAGCCCACTGACAAGTGCAATGCTGAGCCAGCCTCTCGGCCCATGGAAAGCTGCAATGGGTGAATGACGTATGGAAAAAAACAAAGCTGTTGGACTGCAGAGATCCTCCAGTTATTGCCCACTCGTACGGAGAAGCACTCGGCTTTTACCTTCCCAAAGGGTGATGATGCAGGCTGTCCTGCTTTTTCCCTTGTGTAAGGGGCCAGCAGTTCTGTGTACTTCACTTGAAGAGAACTTCTGTAGCAGAAATGAGGACACAGCCAGCCTGGCAGACCAAGGCAATGCTTGCACCTTTGGCCCTCTCCTCTCGCCCAGGCCAGGCTCAGAGCAGGAAGGGTAGACCTGCTACACAGGGAAAATGTCTGCACCATCACACAAGCCAGGGTTTGCCCAGTAAGATCTTGGGATAGAGAAGACACTTGGTGAAGGGAGGACTGCAGAGACCAGATAATGCCTGCTTGTGTTGGGAAGGCCATGGGGAAAATGAGCAGAGCCAATTGAACTAACCAGTCAATGGAGAAGAAGTAATGGGATTAAGATAGAGCAGGGAGAATTCAGCTTAGAGACAAGGGAGCAGGCTATCATGAGAGCAGCAGGCTCGGCCATCGCCTGAGCTGCCAAAGGAATCGTCATCACCGACACAGACACGGCAGAGAGCAGACACCAGGCTGCAGGAGGAGCAGGCGCCCGCCTGCTGCTCAGCCTGGAGCTGCAGTGGGTGGATGTCTGTGAGCTTTGGAGATGGGACCATTCCACAACGGAGGGGCTGCGTGCCAGAGCAGGGCCAGGCTACCTCTGGGTGTATGTGCTGAGAATCTGAGCTGCAAGGAGATTTAAATCAGCTGCCCTTTCCCCAGGGAATGAGGGCCCTTCACCAACACTTAGGAGGAAAACTATACACATCTGCCCTTCCCCTGGCTGTGTCCCAGTGCTGGGGGTGGGAACGGAGAGCCCAGTTGTCTGCCATGAACTTCCCTGCCTGGCTAGATATGCTGCCCTGCCACTGCAGGCAGGGAGAAGGAGAGGGAGCACAACCCCACTTTCTGTCTGTCCTCTTCAGCTTCACCACTTCTCTGCCAAGCCACCAGGCAGCTCCTGTCCCTCCTGCCCAGTCTGGTTCCTCTCCCATGCCCAAGCATGTCATCTGCCTTTCCTGAGAATAAGACAGGGCAGGAAGGTCTCCAGTCTGGCAAGAATGGAGCAGGCTGGACTGAGAGGGCAACTTCACCAGGTGCTGTGGGGAGAAGGGCCAAAAATATGAGGAAGGGATGTCCAAGAAATCCGGGCATGCAGTGGAGATCACTGCTAAGAGAGGTCCCAATTCTCCTCAAGATGCTGTGAGTCTGCCATGGCCACAGACTGTGGCTCTGGGCTTATGTCTGGGACCTGGCTGTGGCTGGCACTACGTGCATGGGGAAGGTTTTCAGCAGCAAGAAGACTCTGCATGGATCCTGCAGGCCAGAGAAGCAGCCATGCCTCAAAGATACGTATCCACCTGGCTAGACCACCTCCAGAATAAGATTTCGTGGCTGAAAATGGGGCCAGAGGAACAAACTGAGGCAATCTCATGAAGAGGCCTAAAAGAGTCAAAAAAAAGGTGCCTGAAAGTGGAACTCTGCTGCAGGTGATAAAGTACAGGGGCACAGAGACCCTAATAATCTGTCCCTACTCTGAGGACTGTCTTTGCTCCAGGGATCTAAAAGGCCTGCCAAACCTTTGGTAAACCCATCTGTCCAAGACACCTTGGAGGGTGGAGATAGAAAGACTAGGCACCACAGCCTAATTTAAGCAGTGTGTAAGAGATTTCAAAGAGAACATGTTGGGAAGGACAAGCTGACCACGTTCCTCACTAATAAGCCCATTGCAGCTCCACTGACTGAACGTCTCCTGATTCACCAGGACATACAAGCACAGACCATTATCTCCCCAGAGTCACAAGGACCCTCAGCACTGGTCTTGCCTTACATTAGGCCCTTGGAGAGAGAAGCTAGCCAAATGTCACCACTAAGCAAGAAAATCCCAGGGCAGCCAAGGGGACTGTCACTGCTTTCACCCAGTCTGAATTCATGCCAATAATGTTGAGAACTAAATGCGAAGGAGGATGTGCCCACACTGGTGACCTTACGCTTCCCTGTTCTCAAAGGGACCCTCTTACATAAGCCAACATCTAGGTCTCATAGTGATAGTAAGGGCAGATTGAAAGACAGAATCATAATGGAGTGCAATTTTAAGGGCCTTTCTGTTCAAACCACCATTGTTTGGAGTCTAGCGCTCAGGAACCAGGAGGACAAGGGCAAGTGACACTGACCAGGACACACAAGGCATGAAGAGCACAGGAACAGATCACCCTGGGGGCAAATCCAAGTGGAGCCTTATAATTCCCACAGGTGCTGGCTGATTCAGGCTTGCCAGAAAGAGATGACATCAAATATGGTGGAGGGGTGCTTCTGCAGCCTTCCCAAGACACGGGCAGAAGCAGTACAGCAGCACAACAAGAGAAACAGCCTTCATTAATAAGTTAGCAGGAGGAAGACCAGCTGAACTAAATAAAACCCCTTACTGTTTGCTGTTACATCTTGCCCTTCTGCGATGGATGCAGAGGCAGACACCAAGTTCAAATGCTCAGGTGCTAACAGACATGCTCTTGTCACCCAAGACCTGCTGTTCTCAGCCACTGTTTGCCCCAGTGGATGAGAAGCATGGTGAGGCTGAGGAAAACTGCTGCCTGGAGAAATCGCTGGCAGATGAAGCATGCACTCCCCCAAAGATCTGACTGAAAAGAAGACAGCTTTTCTGAGAACTGGGACATGAGAGATCTGGGGATGTGTTGACAGAGAAGGAAAAGCTGGGTGCCTGCAAGCTGCAGCCACTGATGCAACTTCAGTGACATGAAGACTCCTCACCCATCACTGAGATCCTTTCCAGCAGGATAGAAGGGGCAGCACAGAGTTCTAAGCAGGCCAGCACGCCCTAACAAGAGCAAAGCAGAGGAACCCAGGGGCTAATGGGCTGCACAGAAGCCACCTCACTTCTCACACCTCTCTGCAAAAACCGGTGTAGAGCAAACTGCTTGCTTTTAAGCAGGTTCCTCTCCAATGTATCCCCAAGCTCTATTCTACAGCGCATCCTTCACAGCAGATGTCTCTCTGCCTCCCAGCTGCAGGATGTGCAGCCCCCCAGAAGGTGAATCCCTTTGCTCCTCATTTCCCCAGCCCAGGTTCCCGACCCTTCAGCATGCTCATGCATTTCTCCCTCCCAGCCCCTCAGAGCTCTCTGCCAAAACCAGGCTGCCAGGAGCCTGCAGCCCAGACTCTGCAGCCAGAGCCTAGCCTGATCTCATGCAAAATTCACTCTTGCAGACATGCACCAGACTGCTGGTCTATTATCAATAGGCGACTTGCAGCTGAACCTACCAGAGCCTTCCTTGATGCTCGTCTGAACCATGATTAGGACAAACTTCAAAGCCAGGAAGGGACCCCAGCCACTTGAATCGCTGCCTGTTACCACAGTGCTTGTCCCAGTGCCATTCTCTCCCTCTTCCCCATCTCACTGGGGGCCTCCCATGTTCTCTTCCCAGCTGAGCCCTCATCCAGCAAGCAGATCAGTAGTGCCGCAGATCTCTGCTCCATCTGGGGTTGCACATTCATCCCTTTCCAGGTGCTGCCTGCCTGTTGTAATCCCAAACTGAAAGCCCTTTACCTAGGGGATGCTGGCTCTCAGAGCTGGCAAGCCGAGGCTTCCTAAGGAGCAGAGCCTGGGATCCTCTGGAGGTGGTGCCATTCCCAGCAGTGAGAACAGAGTAACAGTCGAAGCATGGTCTAAAAAAAAAAAAAGTGGGGAGGGTGGGGAACGGTCAGAGGGAAGCGGAACAGCCGGATTTGTGGCTTTCAGCCTTTGCTCTAACCTGCCTCTCAGCTCCACGTGCCCGGATGCCCCAGACCTTTAGGCACAGGCAGTTAGATGCTGCTCCCAAAGGGCCTGTTAATCTCCACCCTGGCAAGGGTCTTGCTCCAGCGTGGGCAGCAGGGTAGGCAGAGGTGCAGCAGGGTGCCTTCTGGTGGCTGCTGGTTCTTCGGAGCACAAGCCAGCCCAGAGCCAGGGCTGGGAGACAAAGTACCCCCCTCCCTGCATCAGGCCTGTCTTTTTATTCCCCCCTTTGGATATCGATGCCATGAATGATGGTTTCAGGGTTGGTTTTGGTTGGGTTTGGGTTTTTTTGCATGTAGTGGTCGGTCTAGAGTTCAGTGCCACATCAGGGGGAGCTTCAGCACTCACCCCTCCAAGAGGTCAGAGCCACGGAGGAGGGAGCTTTCGCTGGCTGCTGGAGCGAGATCCCGCGTCCGCTCCATCCTGATGTCCGACTGGGCCATCTCCCTCCCCTGCGCTCCTCCCCCCAGATCCTGCACTGGCTCAGGCCAGGCAATGGACAACAAGATCTCGCCCCCCCTCTGCTTTCACAGTGAGGTCTCCACGCAGGACCCGTTGCGGTGGAGGTGACGGTGGTCGTGGTTTGAGCAGCCTTCATTGCGATGCACGATGAGGACGGGGAAGTAGAGGGCGTCCTGGTAAGGAGGGGGGTCTTCCTCCTCCACAGTCACCTGGCTGGAGAGGCGGGTCTGCTCGGTGGGACAGCTCTGCTCGTTCAGGCTCCCGCTCCG